CCACAATGCTGGTATTACAGGTGTGAACCACCATGCCCAACCCAGAGTTATTTCTTGAGCTATGCCAAAATAAAACAAAACAGAAACACCAGAGGTAGTAGATACTGGTGTTACTAACCCTGTTTTAGTTAAAGTGTAGGCCTCTTCCTACACCAGTGGTGCTTCCTCTCCAGCTAATATTTCCCAACCTACCTCATTCTTAAAACCCTATGACCAACTCTCCCTACCCTGATGGAAAGGACTTTAGATTTGAAGCACAGAACCCTGAGGCTAGTCTCAGCTGCACCTCCTCAGTTGTGTGACTGTGTGCTACTCAGAGGCCTTCACCAGGGCCCCTTCCCTCATCTGGGCAGTGAGGGGATTACTCTAAACATGTGAGTCTCAGCCCTTTTTTTCTAGGACATGAGTGTCTGGTGACATTCCTTTATAGACCTTCTTGTTGGGTGGCCTACTTCCTAGCACCTTAGCTGTAACTTAACCCCGCTCCTGCACTCAAGGAATCACGCTGGAATACAGGGGAGTAAATGATGCTATTATAGGGATAACCTTGAATCTGTTCTGAGTTCTCAGAAATGTGAGTACCCGTGAGGTGTAGTTTTGTTCTTAGTCACAGGTCACTTGAACGCTACGCAGTGAGAGTGTCAGGGCCTGGAGGCAGAGGGCCTGTCCTAGACCACATCCCTCCTCTCCTCCCACAGCCTCAGCCTGCAGGCAGGTGCCACCTTCCCAGGGTAAAGTGCAGGTATCCTTTAGTTATTTAACGGGTTGCAAAACCTTGGTCTTTGGGGTTGACAAAAACCCCGTGTGACTGTAGAGGGACTTAGGCTGGATCGGAAAAGCATCTTCCGTCTGTGAGACCACCCCATCGAGCTGTGACCCTGGATCTGCATATTTCTAAACTGAGTTAGAAAATAATCAGCCTGGTGTGTTTAGATCCAGCTGTGCAAGAAAACTGGATGGAATTCCCCTCCTTTCTTTACTTTCTTCTGGGGTTTGTTGTTGTTGTTGTGTCCTTTTTGTGGAGAACGGGGTCTCACTGTGTAGCCCGAGCAGGTCTCAAACTCCTGAGTTTAAGCGATCCTCCCATCACAGTCTCTCAAAATGCTGGGATTACAGGCATGAGCCACCACACTAGGCCTGGTCTTCTAGCTTTGTTACTGATGGATTTGTAACCACCCAGAGGTTAGAAATACAGCCCTTTCCCAGAGGTCCGCCAAAGTCCTTGGATTGGTAGCATTTCCAAGACTTTTTAGCTGAGATGCTTATATGCTAAGAATCTCTGAGGAAAGAGGTGTGCCATGGAGTCAAGTGTCCACTTTGTAGTTAACCAGGCCCTGAATTTTCTGCCTGGTCGCATAGTTCAAAGCACTGCCAATGAAGGGGAAAAAAAAAAAAAAGATTTGGAGAGGACTCTAAGCAAAGTGGTGCATCAGTTAGCCTCCCGTCTCTTAGCACCCTGGGCCACCAGAGTCACGGCTTTTCATGCAGAGTTAGGCACCCAATTAAATAAAAATTTATTATTTTATTATTTTTTTTAATTGTAGAGGCAGGGTTTCACTATGTTGCTCAGTCTAGTCTTGAACTCCTGAGCTCAAGTGATCTCCCCGCCTTGCCCTCCTAAAGTGCTGGGATTACAGGCGTGAGACACCGTGCCCGGCCACATTCAGCCTTTTATCTGTTTCATAAGAAACGTTGGATGGGCCGGGCGCGGTGGCTCAAGCCTGTAATCCCAGCACTTTGGGAGGCCGAGACGGGTGGATCACAAGGTCAGGAGATCGAGACCATCCTGGCTAACCCGGTGAAACCCCGTCTCTACTAAAAAATACAAAAAAACTAGCCGGGCAAGGTGGCGGGTGCCTGTAGTCCCAGCTACTGGGGAGGCTGAGGCAGGAGAATGGCATAAACCCGGGAGGCGGAGCTTGCAGTGAGCTGAGATCCGGCCACTGCACTCCAGCCTGGGCGACAGAGCAAGACTCCATCGCAAAAAAAAAAAAAAAAAAGAAATGTTGGATGACTCATGCCTGTAATCCTAGCACTTTGGGAAGCTCAGGCAAGTAGATCACCTGAGGTCAGGCGTTTGAGATCAGTCTAGCCAATGCGGCGAAACCCCATCTCTGCTAAAAATACAAAAATTAGCCGGGCATGGTGGCACTCACCTGTAATCCCAGCTACTCGGGAGGCTGAGGTGAGAGAATCTCTTGAACCCTGCAGGCAGAGGTTGCAGTGAGTGGAGATCGTGCCACTGCACTCCAACCTGGGCTGCAGAGTGAGACTCCATCTCAAAAAAAAAGAAAAGAAAAGAAAAGAAGAGAAATGTTGTAGATGGTTATCACTAGTGTGAATTAAAACTGCATATGGAGGGCCGGGCGCGGTGGCTCAAGCCTGTAATCCCAGCACTTTGGGAGGCCGAGGCGGGTGGATCACGAGGTCAGGAGATCGAGACTATCCTGGCTAACATGGTGAAACCCCGTCTCTACTAAAAATACAAAAAACTAGCCGGGCGTGGTGGCGGGCGCCTGTAGTCTCAGCTACTTGGGAGGCTGAGGCGGGAGAATGGCGTGAACCCGGGAGGCGGAGCTTGCAGTGAGCCGAGATCACGCCACTGCACTCCAGTCTGGGAGACACAGCGAGACTCCGTCTCAAAAAAAAAAAAAAAAAAAAAAACTGCATATGGAAAATTTGACGAAAAATGAACACACGAGTCCAGTCTTTACGACAGTACAGTGAACTCTTGAACTACGTGGGGGGCTCTGACTCCTACACAGTCAAAAATCTGCATATAACTTTTTCTTTTTTTTTTTTTTTTTTTTTTTTTTTTTTTTTTTTTTGGAGGCAGGGTCTTGCTCTGTCCCCTAGGCTGGAGTGCAGTGGCAAGAACATGGCTCACTGCAGCTTTGACCTCCTGGGCTCAAGCAATTCTCCCACCTCAGCCTTCCAAGTACCTAGGATTACAGGTACACACCACCACTCCCGGCTAATTTTTTTTTTTTTGTAATTTTTGTAGAGACAGGCTTTCGCCATGTTGCCTAGGCTAGTCTCAAACTCCTAAGCTGAAGCAGTCTGCCCGCCTCAGCCTCCCAGAGTACTGGAATTACAGGCGTGCACCACCACACCCAGCCCTGTGTATAACTTTGGACTCCCCCACAACTTAACTACTAATAGCCTGCTGTTGACCAGAAGCCTTACCAATAACATAAACAGTCGATGAAGATGGATTTTGTATGTTATAAATGTATTATATACTGTATTACAATAAAGAGAGTGAAAATAAAATGTTATTAAGGAAATGATAAGGAAGTGGCCAGGCACGGTGGCTAACACCTGTTGTAATCCTAGCACTTTGGAAGGCTGAGGCCAGGAGACTGTTTGAGCCCAGGGGTTCAAGACCAGCCTAGGCAACACAGCGAGACCCCATCTGTAATATTTAAAAAATTTTAATAACATTTAAAAATATATATAAGGAAGAGAAAATATATTTACTGTTCGTTAACTGGAAGTGGATCATCATAAAGGTCTTCATCGTCTTCACATTGAGTAGGCTGAGGAATAGGAGGAGGAGGAGGGGTTGGTCTTGTGTCTCAGGGTGGCAGAGGCGATAGAGAATCCACATGGAAGTGGAGCCCCGCCATTCTAGCCCATGTTGTTCAAGGGTCAGCTATTGTTAGATGTGCCACATAAGGAAGTCCAGGCTGGGCGGTCAGGAATCACAGTCACAAAAGGGAGAAGCTGTGATGTGCACAATTTAATGCAGACAAATAATATTTCAGTGGCAACAGATCTTTTTGATAGAATTTATATGGAAAAGAATTGATCCATTTGAAAATCATTTCAATGAAAGTAGAATGGAAAATATTAGAAATAATTCATCTGTGTTGTATGGAAAAATGGATCAAGGGATTAGGTTTGCTTAACAGAGTTCAACTCGGAAGATTCTCAACCAAAATTCTCCAGTATGGGTACAATTCTGTATCATTTGAAACTCTTTGGATGTGTAAGCAGTTCATACTGCCTTGGGAATGAAACGGCAGGATCACAATACCCGATACTGGCCTGGTACCATGAAATAGCTGTTACTCTTGGTGGCATTTGGCTAAGGCTCGTGTGGCATCTGGGAGCACTTTGGAGGGCCACCCCTCAGCTCACACACATCTCAAAGGACAGTGGCCTTAAGCCACAAGGGAGGCAGAGGGGGCTGTGAGTGAGGGAGAGAGGTGCTACCTGGCATGGGCGGCCGAGGCTGGGAGCTGGGTGAGGGATGAGATTCCTCCCAGGGTGATCCAACCAAGTGGCTGAAAGGCTGTGAGGCAGAAGGATGTTAAACTGTTATGCAAAGGCTGAGTTTCCAGGTGCCTTAGTTTGATGCCTCCCTACCCCATTGTCCACCAGACCCCTCTGAGAAAGGGTCTAAAGCAAATAAAATTCAAGTCAGGTGTCAGTGACCTTGGTTAAACCTTAATGAGGGACATAAGGCAGGGAGAGCCCTAGTGAAAGCTGGTAGTCAGTCAAAGGCTGCAATCAAAACGGCAAATGCCACTGGGCACGGTGGTTCACGCCTGTAATCTCAGCACTTTGGGAGGCTGAGGCAGGCGAATCACCTGATGTCAGGAGTTCAAGACTAGCCTGGCCGACATAGCGAAACCCCATCTCTACTAAAAATATAAAAATTAGCCAGGCATCGTGGCGGACACCTGTAATCCCAGCTACTTGGGAGGCTGAGGCAGGAGAATCACTTGAACCCGGGAGGCGGAGGTTGCAGTGAACTGAGATTGTGCCACTGCACTCCAGCCTGGGCAACAGAGTGAGACTTCGTCTCAAAAAAAAAACAAAAAAAGGCAAATGCTCAAATGAGTCCTTGAAGGAGGACAGATCTAGGGTCTGTTCCAATGGTCATCCTCTACATTGACCCTGAGCCCACACAGCTGTCATTCGAGAGTGTCCACATGTACTGTGGATGTACTGGATCTGGAGAAAACATTTCATCCCGTTCTCCTCTCTTGCAGGTTTCAAGTGCCCCATTTGCTCCAAGTCTGTGGCTTCTGACGAGATGGAAATGCACTTTATAATGTGTTTGAGCAAACCTCGCCTCTCCTACAACGGTAAGGGCTTGGCTTGCCTCACCAGCCTCCAGAGCATCCATCGGGGGAGCCGGCCAGTTCTGGGGGGAGCCTCCAGTCGAGGGTGGCTCTGGGCCGTATTTTCACCCTGCCCTCTGGCAGGTGTCCTTGAGTGGTGGTGAGGAAGTGGACTGTTCAGGGAGCCTTGCTGCTCAAGTCAGAGAGGAAGAGGAGCAGGACAAGGAAGGAAGGCCCAGGGGTCAGGTCCGAGGCCTGGGAAGGCTCTCAGGTTGCTCAGTTAGTCCCCTGCCTCTCTGCAACTCAGTTCTGAGGACTTTGGCTGGGAGATGCAGCCATTCCTTCACCCGTCACACACTTGACTGTGGAAGGCCCCAAGACAGCCAGATGTCCTCCACGGCTCAGAGGAGGGGCCCAGAGCAAGCACCCACCCTCCTTGGGGAGGTGGGTGCTATGTGCTGGTGGCATGTACAGAGTGCCGGGAGGCTGGTCATCTCATTGTCATGTTCGAACTCAGACGAACACCTGATTTAGTCCTATGACTCCACACCAGAGAGCTTGACGGGGAGTATGTGTGACGTAGAGATGTTCTGGGGATTGAAAATGCGGATGGGCCACCTTGCTGCTCCACCCCGGCCATGTTGCCTCCTACCTTGGAGGCTGCCTCAGAGCTGAACAGCGAATACCGCAGTGGGTAGGATCCTGAGGGCAGGGGATTTCAAAACACCCAAGTTAACCTAACAGGACGCCTCTGGGGAACAAAATGACTGTCAACATCTGCCTAGCATGCTGTGCATAAGACTTTGGAGTTCAGCTGATGTGAGTTCGAATCTCCCTCTACCACTCACTGTCTACAGTCTTGCAGTGTACACTCACTGTCTACAATCTCAGCTTAGCGGAGCCTCAGTTTTCTGGTCTGTAAAATGTGGATAGCAATACTTGGTTCATAGGATTGTCAGAACTGGGTAAGAGATGGCACATGAAGCTCTTTGGTACAGAGTCTGGCACATGGTCAGTGCTTGGGAAGTTATAGCTGCCATGAAAGATGTGAGACCTTCTATAGGTTTCTTTTTGCAGTTTTCCAGAGCCCACAGACTTCTGCTCAGTGCTGCTCAGCCCATGCCATGGCTGACCCTTGGTTTTCCATGCTTAGTGTTTAGTCTGGTCTCCAAACCATGTTCATCAGAAAACGGCGTCTTCCACTAGAACAGGCAGTGGACCTGAGTGCGCTCCAACCCCGGTCCTGGCCCACCTTCCCAGATTCAAGTCATAGTAGTGGTTGGAAAAAGAGTTCTTGGATTTCCGAGAGCATCTGAGGACTGGATGACTTGCAACCAGCCCGGCAAGAATGTTTCCTGGGGAGACTCTTCTCTGCCCTGCAGCCTCTTCACTCCCAGAAGGCTCTTTCCCCTACAAAGCATGAGCCTAGGAGGGATCATGGTCTCAGAGCATCTCCTGGGAGGTAACTGACTAATGGCATCCACTCGGGTCTCCTGAAAACTTCTCTTTTAATTACTTGTTCAGCCAAAAGACTCTGGATGCAGGTGGGCATATTACCCACGTGGCTCAGCTCTATGCGTCTGTTAGCCCATGCTCAGGTGGGAGGACCAGCACGGCCCTCCCCTGGGCATCATAGCTGTGGTCTGGGAAACCCCTTTCCTCCCCAGGGGACAGCCCCTCCTTTCTCCTGGGCTGACTGCTGCTGAGCCTCTAAGTCTGTTGTCACATGTGCTTCAGGCTTCGCGTCAGTCCTGTCGCGTGCATGCTGTCAGGACGCTCAGGCTCGGCTTTGTCCCTGTTTGCCGTCTCCGCCTGGGACCAGGGAGGGAGAGGAGCCTTCCCTGCGTCTCACAGCCCTCCCCAGCCACGGCCTCAAAAACCCTATTCACTTCTTTCCCACATGTGTGGAGACCTCATGAAGTCCTCCGTTTGTCCTGTGGGTTGCTAGGGCGTTCTCTGTAGACACTGCGTTTGTTGTAGGAAGAATACAAAGAAGCCTCAGAGGGGCTCAGCCTGAGAAAACCTGGTTCTCAGCAAGAACTTTGCAAGAGCAGCCGTGGAGGACAGAGTGCTCTTGGGCCCCCATGCCCCAAATGCAGAGTTACCCCCACTGCCCTGTAGAGAACAGGGAAGGTGAGCCTCTCCAGCTCCTCTGCCAGAGAACTGCCTGGGACGCCACCATGTGTCCCCATGTCCCCCTCTGTATCAGCACTTCAGTGCCTGGTGCTGTTGGTTCACCCCCCTACACCCCACCACCGGCAGCCTCACCCAAGGCTACAGAAACCACACTGGGAGCCGGGGCCCCCTTAGAGGAAGGGGAGGTTGGCCAGCCAGCCTGAGGCATGACCACTGCTCCTCTGGTTCTGGTTCTAGTTTTTCCTTTGTCCTGGAATTGAGAAGCAGGCCACCTCCTCAAGGGTGTGTGTGTCTCTGTATGTGTACGTGTGTGTGTGTGTGTGTGTGTGCGTGTAAACTAGAGGCTTTAAACCTAAGGATCTTTTTTGCAAAAGCCAGTCCTTTACCACTGAAGGCAAAGAGAGGCCGGTTGTCTCCAGTCCTTCCAGTGGACTTTGTCTCAAGGTGGTGAAGTGCTTTGTTCAGAAACAATGGTCCGGCCCTCTGTGGACACTGTTCATGTGGTATGGACTCCTCATGTTCAGTCTTTGTCTTCTCTGAAGACCCTAAACCTTCCAGGTAAGAAGAGAGCATTTGCTTCCGGGGGTGTGTGTGGAGTGGGCATCCCCAGGCACGCCCAGGGCCTGCTCCAGCTCAGAGGGAGCACAGACCGTGGGCCAAGGTTCAGGAGCTCCGATGTTTTCTCCGTGATTTGTCATCATCCCACCCTCACCTGCTGCATGTTACCTTTTCTAATTTAAAAAAAGACTTCAGAGTCAGAGGTGTGAGTTCTTGGAATCTTTCTGGAAAGGAGGTGAGGTGGGGCTTTCTTAGAGAGTGAAGAGATTTCTTATGAAGATTCACTAGAACTCCTGGTCACTCCCCTGAAGACTTCCCATTTACACACACACTTTCTGTGGTTGTTGGCACCAATTGCGGAAATTTTTAGAAAATTTATGATGGTTATATAAGATGAAATTTAGTTAACCACCAAAGGAAAAAAGTAGAAACCTCCTAAATGAGGCAGATAGAAAGTAGTATTTTTCTTATTATGAGGGTTGGCCTGAGTGGTGGGTTGGAAGGCCTCCAGTAGCTGCCTGCCAGCTTAGAAAAAACACAACTTACGAAAGGCAAGACTAGTTTAACTGGTTTAGCCAGTGCCTGATGCTCTGAGGACAGGCACCTGGCTGGGGAGGTTTGGGAATGTGCTGAGCCCCTGCTGGAGGGGCAGGGAAGGGCAGTGCTCTGGGGTCAGTGCTCGACCCCAGAGCACTGAACGTTAAACCCCCGTCCTCCTAAGTGCCTTCCTGGAAGGTGAGGATAATGTATAGAAGGGAGGGGGTTTGTTGGTTCTTTTTTGTGGGTAAGATGGATCAACCCGAATGGGTCTTTTAATTTCTCTCCCTTTCTAACATCTCTGTTTGTGACTCTGAGAGTGAGGGACCGTGCCCTAAAGAATACGCACTCACATTTTTACCCTGAGTCTCTGGGCTAGCAGAACAAGCGTGGAGATGGGGGTCTGACTGACGATGCTCTGAATGGAAGAGCATCGTAATCCTGTGGAGTCGTGCAGATGACCCGCTGTTAACTGAAAGCTTAGGGGTCCTCGGCCTAGGGAGAATCTGGGGGGCGGCAGGTTCATTTGCCAGCAGCACCAAGGAGAGCTCCCTTCAGCTGTGTTCTGGGGGGCGGAAGCCCATGCCCAGCTTCTTAAGTCATGATGCCCTCTTCCTCCCCTCTGCCAAAGGCCATTGCCCCCATCTTCAAGGCTCTTGAGATGCTAAATGTCACACAAGCTATCTTTTAAAGTCAAAGGAGGCCGGGTGCAGTGGCTCACGCCTGTCATCCCAACACTTTGGGAAGCCAAGATTGCTTGAGCTCAGGAATTTGAAACCAGCCTGGGCAACATAGTGAGACCCCATTTACTAAAAATAAAAATTTTGTCTGACATGGTGGCAAGCGCCTATAGTCCCAGCTACTCAGGAGGCCGAGGTGAGAGGACCACTTGAGCCCAGGAGATCGAGGCAGCAGCGGGCTTGATCACGCCACTGCACTCCAGCCTAGGCAGCAGAGTTTGACCCTGTCTCAAAAAATAAAATATAAAATAAAAATGTGAGAGGATCTGGCTTCCTGGAAAAGCAGAAATGGCTCCGGCTGTAGCCTGCCCTGTGCCTGCAGGCACTTCTTTGTCCCATGTCTCCTCCTCTCAGAGACCCTGTGGTCAGGATGAAAGCACCCTACCCTTTCCCTGCCTGGGGAAACTGGGTGCTGGCTGAGGAGTTTGCCCAGCCTTGCTTGGGGCACTGCCCAGAGCCATTGTTAGATGCTATACGGGCTGGAATCAGGCTGGACAGGCTGGAGTCAGACCGCGGAGGTGTCTGTCCTGTTACTCCTCCTACAGGAGGGCAGGGAGGGGCAGGCGACCGCTCACCCAAGGTGTCCAGTTGTTGCTGACCAGCTGCACCAACCGCCAGACTGGCCACTGCTGGATGCATGAGGAGCGAAAGCGATGAGGGCAGGCCTGCGGGGCCCTGACACAAGTGGGGAAACCAGAAACAGGTGGCTACAGGAAAGGGGACTGTGGGAGGGAGCTGTGGTGGCCTCAGTAGGAAAGTATGAAGCACTCCAGGCCTGAGCTTTAGTTGGCTGTCCCCACTATCCTCATTGCAGGTGACCTAGCTCACCAAAACAATTGTATTGCACTTCAAAGGCCTGGGGAGTTGGATGGGCCGCTGCTAGTAGGCCATGCTCTCTGCTCAAGGTCACCCCGTTGCCTGAAGAGCACAGCCCCCCAGATTTCCCAAAAGGGGAGCTGACAAGGCCTGGCATGGGTGGCACTGCCCTGTCCTGTCCTTGGCAGACTGGGCCAGCAGCTCTGCATGCTGAAGAGGCGGCAGGACCAGGCACTC